AAAAAGGAAATTTATCACGTTACTTTGCAACGTAGTTAATTATCTGTATTGCCTCGTAACGCGTTACGCCAAACGACTTCGAATGATCTTGCTATTTATATTTGCCTTTTTTGGCCTTTGTTGATAAATTAAAATTCTCTTGCTTTTCTTCTTTATATTTAAATTCGTGCACCGTTTATATCTGTAATCTTCTGCATCATCATCAGTTGAGCGCTTCTTGATTCCTGTTTTAATGTTTTCCCTCATTACTTGAAGAGACTTAAACGCTCTTAGGAGTTTCGTCTTCCTCATAACAACCTGAAGACAGCTACAGCCTTATAAAGTACCCTTCTTTCCTTTCGTCTTAATTCCTTTTTCCCCGTTTTGCATACAAATTCAAATTAATGTTACGTTATCATTAAATTCCCATGTTATACATCATTCAGTTTACTTTTCTAGTTTTAATTTTGTTGCAGTAAGAATATTTTTCTTTCAGGACTAAATTTCGGCTTCTATATTAATGTCATCTGTCATTATAAGCTTGCGAAATGTCAACTGAGAACACACTGCGATCGCAATTCATGGTCCAGTGATCAGAAATCTTTCGTATTCCAGAACTAACCGATTTGATTCTCGTCCCATCAGTCAACTACTGTGACTGGTGTTTCCTGTTTTTTACTCAAGTGTTTCCAGGAAATTTCCCTGGCATTACTTTTCAGTAGGTTAGGACATCTTCATCAATCGTCCGTCCCAGTTCGTCATCCACGGCTCTTACCTATTAGAAATGCACTGCACTTTTACACACGTGAGAATGCGTCCAAAAATGTTTGATAAAAGAAGAGTGAAAACAAATTGAGTAATTAAGGAAGAAAAATATCGGGATTAAACAATTTAAGACAGTTAATGGAAGCGTAAGAAAATTCCGGCTAGACACATTAATTTCCCTGGACAACAGATTTTTGCTTTTCTGGATGACATCGACGAAATAATTACTTTTTACTAAATCACATACACCAATGATGAAAATTACATTAAAATATCTGTAACATGCATGTCTTTTTTTGTTTTGTGAGTATTTTGTGTTTTGTCTACAGAGTGGATTAATGGTGTTCGTATGATTCTCAGTTTAGACAGCGATCATTTCCTTATACATCAACGAATTGATCTTTCCGGTGGAGAAGTGTATTTTCTTTGCAGTAGGAACTGGATCTATAAATACATATTTACACTGATTTTGGCTTGTCGATGATACCTTCTAATCTACTTGTAAATTAAACATTTAGTTAAAAAAACAATGCCCTTAATTTTCATACGTGAAATGTGAATGTTGAAATTATAATTCATCTTCCATGAACATTTGCAGTTGTTCTGACGTTAAAACAGTTCTCTGTGCTATGCAACAAGATACGTACGTCGCCTTATTCCCTTATTCCTCGCAGTTCATCACTTCGCTGCGCCGTGAACTAATGGACTTGGGAAGCTCAGACCCTGTCATCGCCCTTCATACACCACATCTCTGTCGGCCCACTCTGCCGTAATCAAAACACAGACTGAACGCGCTCTGGTTTGGGATCAGCCACTCTTAAATTTGACAATGGCAAATGGACTGAAATTCAGGTACACTCTGTCACTTGCCCATTAATCCAGTCATTCATTTACTCATACCCTCACCCATCCACCCACCCACACACTATTTAACATCGCTTCCAACATTAGTCCTGTGTCTAGGTACTTAACGTATGAATATGGATACATAGTGTTCCACTTGCAACTGAAACGTAACTATAAGAGTAGACTACTTATATAAGATTTGGTCATATAAATATAACAAGCAAATGCTTATTTTAATTAGAAACATCATAAAACTTTTCAGCAGATGTCCATCATCTTCTCGAAGACACACAAGCGATTATTCTGTCCCGAAATTTTGATACTAGTTGGTGTATTTCTTGTCTTGGTCTGTACGTCCTTGTCAAGATAAGGATTGCTAAACACATTACAAGCAGCAG